CCCCAAAACCCCAAAACCCCAAAACCCCAAAACCCCAAAACCCCAAAACCCCAAATGGCTGTAACCAAATTGAAAATGAATCCAACAAATAATAAAATTATGATGTTTTCGATAAAATATTATTATCTGAATTATTCATTGATAAAATACTCAGCACACCTCATGAGGCATTCTGAGGATTCATTCTTAGGGAAACTTTTATGACTCAGCACTTTTAATGCGAGAGAAAAGATTTTCCTCAAGATTGAAGACTTCTGGGCGAAGTCTCTGATAGACTTCTTGGCTGTACAGTCTCTAAGAGCAATCATTCTTTCCAGATTCGAGCAAAAGCTTTCTTCGTAGTTCTCTTCCTTCAAAAGCTTGATAATTTGAAGACATTTGGTCTTGGGGAAGAAGATCATAGCATATTCTGCTAAGGATCTTACAATGTCCAAATTAGAGCTGTTAAGTGAAGAAGAGAAGCTGGTGAAACTTTCAAGGAAGCTGAAAAGGAAAGAAGTGTAAGATGACTTCTTGTATATGCTAAGAGACGAGCAGTTTATAACCAAGTAATAAGGCAGCTTCTCACATATCCTTACGAATTCAGTTGTGAGAGCGTCTGTCCTATTTAGTTTATTTATTACATGTTTTACGTAATCTTGTGTTCATATAATCCCAAAGGAGTGTATAAAGTTCTTCAGATGTCCTGTCTGGATTGGCTCTTTTCCTACCAGGACCCTTCTTTGTGTAACAGCCTTGATCAACCATCTTTTGCTTCGCTTCCAATTCATTGTAAGTCGTTTGGACGAACTCTGTAATTGAGAAGCGAGCCTTATTTATTAGTGGTGTTCACCTTTTCTTGTTTAATAATTTTTTCTTTAGGTGGTAGGAAAAGGTCTGGTATTTTTGTAGAGGGTTCTTCTTCGTCCACAAGTAAGACAGCTGGCTGTTCTATTTCAATTGGCTCCTCTAGCAGGATTTCCACATGATCATCGTCTCAAGCAATCACTTCAGGAATTTCATATTGGAAAGGGTATTGGTTAATCGAGGTACCATCTCTTTCATCAGTGTCAAGCTGCAAATTTGTGCTATCCAAATAATTGTCTCTTTCACCGAGGCTGAAATTACAAGCTTCTTGTAAATTTTCTTCCGAGAGAAAAAGTCCATTCTCACCGTCACATATAGCATTATCAAGATCTTTGATCATCTGGTTCATATTTCAAATTTTATTATAAGATTTGGGGTTTTGGGGTTTTGGGGTTTTGGGGTTTTGGGGTTTTGGGG